TGAGGGGATCAATCGATATTACACAGAAAGGACTGATAGACATTTTGGATAACGATATTTCGTTAGTAGAATTACGAATTGGATAATATAGTAATACCGTTTAGAGTCATCGACGGACGCATAAGAAGGTTTATAGTCTGGATAGGGGGAGGGTTAAGAAAATGCGATGTATGTTTTTACTCGGAATGTGATGGTTTGGGCTGATTGGTTTTACGCCACTTGTGATGGGATTTGTACGTCGGACATGCCTTGCAGTTAAAAGTGTGATCGCCCCCGCTTAAGATGCCGCTGGGAGGGTTGCTTTTGTCTTCCATACATTTTTCGGAGTGAACACATTGAATTTAATAAACAACTCGATATTATGTTATAGATTAAATAAATAATTTAGAAGAAAAGCCGTCAATTAGAGAACCACTGCACGGCTGTAGGTGTCGAGTGCACGTCAATAGTAATGATTACTGAGTATAGGTCACTGTGATGGAATTATTTATTAAATATATTTCACTATACGTTAAACTTGATCGGTATAAATACTAAGTGTTAAGTCAAATATTATTAAAGTCCTTCCTCGTAGTCCCCTATTTGGTATTAATCTGTCACCGTGATACACAGTACCTGCAGAGATAGATAATGTATTAATAATTACCATATACCACGTACCAGTAATATAATATGATAAAACGTCCAATGATAAAAAAAGAAGAAAAAATAGTGCAAAACCTGTTGATTAAGAGTCACTAGTTTCGCGTAAAACGGATTAAATAGCAAATTTCTTTTCGAAAACTTACTGGACAAGAAATTTGAAAAAGAGATTTGGGCCTAACTCTCCAGCCCCACATATACCTCTTACTGCAGTTAAAACCAGAGGGTTTAGATTTCGGAGAACTTATTTAATTTCAACACGCATCTTTTGATCGACGACGCCATCGGACGTACACGTGTTTTAGCTATTTTTATAGTATTTTAATACACTATTTGTTTATTCTCGTGGCAACGAATTGAAAAAAAATGATAAGCTGTTATGTGAAAGTCTAACTGGGATCGTACAGTAAACTTTCGATTGTCCGCGGAATAAGGTGATATGGCAACAAGTGAATTTTGAGATTGGTCCAAAAAATAAAAATTGCAAAAACAAAAATGCTATTATTATACTATAAAAACATGTATATCGTGTAATAGGTATTAGATAGTATTTAAAGAAAAAATATAAATTATTTTACATTCATATAGTTATTTTTTCTTTTTATTCAAGAAATCCTCAATCGATTATCTGCCAATTGAAATATTGTATTAGTTAATATTTATCTTAACTTATTTTCGTTAGCTTTGTTACTTTTTTCTCTTTTACCTTGTATTCTCAGTGCATTATTCAATATCAGAATCTGTATTGTACTTTAGTACTTATGCCCTCGAGGCGTTGACATAAATTAATAAAACATAAAATATAATATACCGCATATGTCTGCAAAAGCGGTGAACACTCTGAAATGTAGTTTCTTATATATAACTCAGCACCCAGATAGATATATTATTTTAATTCTGCTTGCAATACACGGACGAACTGGTTGGATCATAAATTCCGATAAGTAACAAACAATTTTTTATCTCTTGTATTTTGCACCACTTTTTCTGTGTACCCTGTATTTGTAACACGTGTTAATGATATAACATTTGTATTCATTTTTTTTCCTGTGCTTTTCGATATTAGTCTGGTCGCATAATCACAGACGAGTCTCACTGGTAACGTCGGGTGGGATAGCTATTATAATATAATATAATCGAACGTGTGCTGACTGACCATTGTAGAGCCTAGACAATAATACATGGGAGGCTTGAAATGTTTACGGTACCTTTGCGTTTGCACCACCACGGAAGTTAAGAAATCATTTTCCAAAATTCGCATTTTAAAGTGGCTTATGAGTATTTTGAGATTGGAGATGACGATGAAAATGTATAAGTTTTGAACACCATTACACTGAATATTAAATAACGAATCGAGCAAAGTTTGAGTCACATAAAGTTGTCATTTTTAACGTCCGACGAAGTGAACGGGATTAGCTAGTAATATATAAACAGTAAATTCCTTACTGGAGAATATTATGTCATATTTACGGTGTTTGCGAAGAAAATCAAGGCGTGAATTGTCAGAAAAGTAATTATATAACTCACAGCCGTTTCTACCGTGAATAATGTCCATTGTGATTGTGAATATTATTGTATGTTTATATATATATATATATATACTCATATTATTCATCGACGTCGTCGTAATCGTGTTTGATATTACACATTGCATTAGAAATTCCGTCCACGTGAAACACGAGTACCTGTATATTATATTACTGTATACTCACACACTCCCAAACACCGTCTGACTATAGTCTCATCAACTCTTCACGTATTTACTGTAATATAGCAAAACAATATATACCTCTATACTTGCACTAACCTTTATCCATATTGCACCCGCACCCTGTCATTTCGATACCGAAACGAAATAAGGATACGAGTCACTGTAGCTTCTTGCTTTCCACTCGCATTTTAGATTGTAAAGTCCCGTTGTTTTACACGCGCGCGCACACACACACACACATACACACAACACATTTCGAACACTATGTGCGTTTCTATATTGGATTTTTGATTTTTTAACCGTAGAGTTTATTTTAATATTACATTTTAAAGTCAAACACTTTTGCTGTAACGCGAGCCAGCAGCGACATAAAACTGCCGACCAATAACATTCTCGTTTTTGGTATCTATATGACATACTATGTACATGACTGTATGTTACGGTACATATATTATATATATATATATATATATGTGTGTGTGTATTATATTCTTTTGTCAAAGCAGCAGCGATATACGTCTACAAAATTATAATACCAATGCATTATATTGTCAATTCTGTAGTCAAGTTTGGATTTAGAAATAAACAGCGGCGGGATGGTGGGGCTAAACACAAAGTATGTACCCTTATTATACCGTGTTAAAATACTGTTGTATAGGTGATATTATAATATTAAAGTCATATAAATATAAATCAAGTACTATCGTAGTCTCAAAGTTATAGAATATAGATTAAGTCCCTTAAACACTATTTCTTATCTACCAATAGAATCGGGTTAGTGAGTAATTGATAAGAGCCCCTCGTATGATAATAACCGTCAAGAATTTAAATCTTTCTAACCTGGCAAGTTTCTTGATACAGATTGATTATGACGTATAACCATCATTGAAAATACATAATTATTGCAATCCATAGTATTATTATACTATATAATATATGTTTACGTGTGTTTGTTGTAAGTTGTTTGTGGTATACAGCGACTGTAATCTGTAGCGATACTTCCCAAGGTAGCAAAATCAAAATGCCAAAATGTCAGGCACAGTCGCAGTATAATTGTTCTGCGGGACCACTGCAAAAGCGGCTAATTCTTTTCGAAATGTTCCAACGACCTATTATCATCAGCTAATTCCCTTCGAACGTACGAGTAGAGCAGCGGTTCTCAAACAGTGAGGAGCGCCTCCCTTGGGAGCCTCGAGCTTTTGGCCGGGGAGGTGCGAGCTGCATGGTAAATATTGATATTTTTTAATCAACAGTAATTTTGTTGAAACGTCTTAATTATTTTAAACAAATATTTCACTATGTCAGTATTACTTTAATTTTGGAACAGCATTAAAGATGAATATCCTGAAATAACCAACAAAGCTTTGCGTGTATTGCTAACATTTGTGACATCGTATTTATGTGAAGCAGGATTTTCTGCAGTTGCTGTATGAAAATCAAAATATCTGTCTAAACTTAATGTTGAAAAAGAAATGCATGTGGCTGTCATAACATTGCTTCCTAATTTTGAACAATTATTAAACCGAAAACAAGCATATTATTCGCATTCAATTTAAATATTAATAATAATTGTTTTTTTTTTTTAATAAAAATAAAAATGTTTGTATATTTAAAGTTAAAATACTATAAATATTTGTAATTTATTTATTTATAGGAGGCGCAATTTATTATTTTAATTTTTAGGGTGGCGTGAACTAAAAAAGTTTGGGAACCGCTGGTATAGGGGTACATGAGTTACGATGAGTATACTATGTAAAATGGGTAAAATCGTTCTACATGTCTGTGGTTCAGATGTATAGAAAAACTGCATTAGGAATTTATGTCTAATTTTACCTCAAAGTAAGTTTATAAGATGTAACAAGTTACATTTTTTCAAATAATGCATTTTAAATCCTTATAAAAAAACATTTTAAACTTATGAACTTTAACTTATATATATATATATATACATATATGTATATAATATGTAAATAAAGAGTTTTATTTAGAAATTCAACATAGAACAATAAGGAGTTAAATGTTAGATGTCTCGTCTTATGTCAGGTGTCGCTACATAAACCGTGATGCAATACCGTATATAATTTACAGTATGACAGTATGTAATATAATATCTGTATGGGGTTTTTTTTATAGTGAATACGATTTTTTTTCTAAATGGTTTAAAATCTAGAGTTTATATTTCAATCAGTAAGAATATTGGCTAAGATAAAATTATGATATAATTCTTAACAATAATTATGTAATACTGAAACATTAGGCTTAATGTTCAGGCATGTTTTGACATAATATGACTGACTCAAAACTTATAGAATTAATAATAGGCGAAGTATATTTTATTACTAACAAATGGCGTATCCTCAGGGAGAAAATATGATTTTAGAAAAACAAATGGCACCCTGACTAATATACATAGAACGCCATTACCCACACGTCACTGTATTATTATATAATATGAAAGTTATAAATTACAATATTATGTTAATATGTTATCATGTCTTAATATTGAGTCTTATTTAATAAGACTTAACTTAATATTTATTTGAACTTTAAAATATCGATTGCTGTGTGATATCTCTCTCGATTGAAAGCAATAATATTCACCCATGAATACACTTTTGAAATTGATTTTCTCCATAATAAAACGTAATTCGCTCTGAACTATAATATATATATTATAATATTTGCGGTAACCGTTACAAGTTGTTCGATATAATAGTAACAAAAGTAGATAATGGGCGATTTTCGTATTAAGAGCCAAGAGATAAGGAAATATTATTATGACATATGGTAAAACCATATTATAGTCTAACACCACGGATTTGGTGTTTGAGTCTTATATTTAGTGGGTCGCAGTGTCGTTGATGGTGGATTGTGTTGGTTATGCGATAAATCGATGCCTTCAATATATACTGCTAAGGCAGCTGCCTGAAATGTCTTTTCCCGGCCTTCTCCTTCGTGGCTAGAATGATAGCAGCACACCCGTACCCGACTCCAAGAATCATGAACGTACTGCTGTACACCAAAAACTGAAACACACCATTCGATTCCGGATGTTAGTTTGCACTGTACAAATAAAATACTTGAGCGATTTAATTTAGGATAAGTCAATTCGCCTAATGTGGACGTTATTTGTTATCATCTGTTTAAAGTTTTAAGTCACCCGCAGGTAACCTAAAATATTTGACATTCAATTAATTCGATTGAAATAAATAGTTGGAAATGTTTTGAATAATAAATCTTAAATACATCAATTTGTTCAACTGTGCTCTCTGTAACGCACATATTTTGTTCCATTTAAAATATTTATATTATTTCGACTTAAGTATTATACTATTAGGAGGAGTGTACATCATAATATATTGTATCCGGAACTCGGAAATAGTTTTCGGACTTTTGTGCAAAGTATAATAATAAGTTAAAAGAAAAGGAATGGATGAATGTGTTTTTAAACTTCATAATTCGTTTAAAAGGAAGTTTGTTCCGACTTTGATTTTAATATGATGGTGGTACCTGCAGCTGTACCATTGTACAATAACTTAACTCATTGCAGGTCGAGGTCAGAACAACGGACCTTTACCATTTTCGGTCGATTATATGCACATAGAATTGAACTTGAAACTATAAAATTCGATATTTGAGGGTATTCGAAGGTAATTTATTTTTATTGGAAATACTTGTCACATCGACCACTTTGTAGAGGTTATCCGGTCGAAAACTAGCTTTTTTGAATACATATACCAATCAACCAGCGTACCTTAATGAAAATATTGAGTCAAAACTTAGTAAGTACTCAATCAGTAATTGCTTATAACTAAAAATTAAAATTTTGAAACCCATGTCTTACATATTGATTGGCTGATAGACACTTTTATACACAGTATACGATGGTAGAAGTTCCACAAAAATGGTTATTTTATGAAACATATTAAAAAATTCACAGAGAATTGTCAACCGATAACTTTTTTAGGTAATTTTGAACTGTTATGATATTGTTTATTCACAACTCATATAAAATATATCGACAAAAAAAGAATATGGACGAATCGCATTTTGTATTTGACTATTTATTTTTTAATGTTTACGTCATTTCATATGCTTTTTACGTCAATGACGTTACGCGTTTCGTTCACATCCCTGCTCCTCCTTCATAAAACATGAGCATTATATATACCTAAAGCTGTTTCATATGTATATTATGTGAGTGTGATGTGTGTGTACAATATTATGTATATGAATATAAAAACGTCAATATCAATTGTTGATCTCACCCTGACTGGCAGGATCGTTCCAATGCGTATCAGGAGTGACGTCAAGCACGTGGACAGAACCAAGCCCAAGAAAGCGTTGAATCCCAGTACCGAGGTATAGAAATCGTGTTTTAGTTGTTTGGCGATTTGTGACCTGAAACGAAAAGAGGGTATACTCGTGTGTGGTGATAATATTATAGTTGTACACTAATTGTGCATATACCATAAACTTATAGGTACTATTGTAATACTATCCTACCTACTATAATCCATACATAAGACACAAAATCAAATTATATCTAATTTAAAACTATTGGCTTGAAATCCCATGATAATTTATCAACAATACTCGAACGCATCTACAGCATCAGGCCAATAAAACAACTATTGATTAGAGATATTTGGTTTTCGTGGATTTAAATACAACCAATTCACGCTGCCATGAAAAGTCTTTGCAGGTTTTTAATACGACGTATTGGTGGGCATGTATCAATAACGAATGTGTAACACTTCAAGAAGATGTGGCCTTGCGCTGCAGGATACCCATAATGTAATGTTAAGTATTATATAATGTTTTATAGTACATATAATCTCATATACTTACATCGCTATGACGAAGATGGATTGCACAATCGTGTCGAAGCAGATGTACATGAAGTACACGACAAGGATATTTTTCGAATAGTAGCCCAGGGACAGGAGCAATGCGAGCACCAGAGAACTGAAAGCCAAGAACGTGTATCCGTAATAATTCCAGTTCACGTTCACCTTGCCGATTTGATAAGTACTTATCGCCGCTGTATTTAAGTAATATATCATAGAGATTTCACGTCATAAATTTGTTATTTTTCCGTATGGCTATTATTATAGATTGTTCAACTTTGTGGCACAATTTTAATATGACGAGCAATCGCATACGTTTGTATCATGATAAGTTTTAAAGGAGGAGAGGGGGGTAGTCTTTCCCTGAACAGTCGTTATTCCTGTCCAGAGAGAGATGTCACCCTCGACGGGGGCCCGGGTTCGAATCAGCAAAGGTGCACATTGTAGAATGGTTAGATCTCCTTCGATGCATAATGTATGACCCGAGAAAAACGTAGTAAATAGAAATATACTGTAAATATATATACAGCATACAAAAAAAAGTAAAAAAAAAAGAGTGTAAAAACTGTATAAGGTGGTGGAATTTTATTGCTAAAGGTTTATGACCAAAAACATCTAGAAAACGTTCAGAAATTATTTCTGGATGTTTATCAGAAGTTTTGAAAAACTGTTATGTAAATTTCAAACATGTCTAAGATGTTTGCATTGCACCTGAGTACCAATAATTCTAGCAGAACGGTACAAAGATGCAAGTATTTAAGTACATAAAGTGTAACTCTTTGAGGTGAGACAATTATTTGAAATATAAAATTAAGTTTTATTCTGTTTGTCAAATATAGTAGGAAAGCATTATTATTTGGTACGTGGATATATTATACTATTTTCAGTTATTATAAAATAAATATGGCGTATACATATTATTGTTAGTGCACGATTTGCATACAACAACTTTTTATTGTCATCCACGCACACACACACACACACACACACACAATTATAATAAATTAATTTGAATACTTTTACATTTTCTATAATATATTATGCGTTGATATTAATTATCCTCGTCGTTCGACCGCGAATGTGACTTCATTGCCGAGTTGAATAAACTCGGTTGTATCACTAAATCATTAATGAATAAACCATTGTGAGCTAATGGCCCCTAAAACATTAGCGGTCCCTTTGCAATTTGTGCAATAAACAAATAAACACCATAAACAATTGTGCATAGCGGCTCTAATATGACCAATAATGCCTGTACTATTTGTGTACCTGTATGTTTAACAGTAGGTACAGCTCATCTACTCCTACTCCTACAACTCTATTATTATGGTCAAATTGTGTAATAATATCATTAGTCAGGCCATTAATTAATTTATTATTATAACATTTCACAATAAGTGTTTTAGCGGTAATTGTATACACTAGCGCAAATTAGTTATATATTTTGTTTTTGATGTCGGTGAATTATGAAAAATGTATATTGTAAATATATTTTGGACAGTAACTGTTTTTGGACAAGGACTGGGAGCCAACCCTTATTGTGAGTGCCCATATATGAGTTACAGAATATACGAATTTCATGTTTCAGTGTATAAAATCAGTTTGTTTTAAATGGATTTTTTTTTCGTTACTTAAGTTTAATATAATAATATTTTCAGATAATATAATGTAAACCATTAGTGAATAAGAGAATAATTATAATTGTAACCGTTTGTATATACCGATGGGTGACAAATATACGCCACTCGTCGCTGGATCATCTTCTGCTCAATTATTGACAGGCAAGGTGATAATTATTGATTACGGAATGTGAATGAAAATTGTATAAATCAAATCGTTGGTACAACTAATAATAATAATAATACGTAAATGAAAATTAAATGATAATACTTACTGTTGGACAAACTTAATAAAATAAAACACTATGCCTAATATAGGTACAATATGTAATTTATATGTTCAAAGTAATGGTTTTATCTCAAACAGTTACCCCTTACACACGGCTGTTATGCTTGAGTTATTGGTACAAATGGAAAATGGTACTATACAAAAATTTTAAGTTTAGTTCAAATTTACATAATAGTTAATCAAAACTTCTGTCAGTCTTCTGGAAATAATATTAAAAATATTGTATCAGATAACACAATATAAACCCACCTCTTATATTGATCTTTGGGCTTTGGCAATCAATGAACTCATAACTATCCATAACTATGTATGGTCTTTTTACCTATTTTATTTTTTCGTTGCACCTATACTTATATGTACAAATATATAGTTTTCTGATACAAATGCAGAGAACTTGTTGTATACCTGAAGCATTTTCGTAATATATTATTCTATTTCTTTGCGTTTTTCGGATTGCGCACCGTATATTATAATGAATTATCATAACATGTTTCTTACTAATCGTTTAGTATACTATATAATATGGGACATTTCTATCAAATTTAAAACTAAACGAATATGATACTCACCGCACATGGTTGCCAGAGAATCGACTACACCGTTTAGCAACATGTGCTTATCGTCCGATTCGGCTGCTATGTACGTATACAAAATATTTACGTATAAATTGGTCTGCGGAAAAATAAAAACAAGAAATTAACGAAATTACAGAAAACGATCATTATAAGGATTCATTTTACATACATATTATATTAGGTAATACATACATCCTACCTACACAGTGTTCAAAAAGCTTGTAAGTGCGTGTTTGTTTAAAACTTTTCTGAATATCCTGTGCGCAGGCTTATGACTTTTTTATGAAATATTTCATTCGAAATTTTAACTTTGAAATGTTTTAATTTTAAAAGTATTCACGCACCTACGTTTCCCCCTACATTGGAATTAAAAACAAACCTATATAGGTTATAGGCCGCAGTTTTATAGACGATTATAGCAACGGCTTAAGCCGTTAACATATTATGTGCCTATAAAATAGTTGTAAAATAACAATGAAAATATTGAAGTATGAAATATGTGCATAGTTATAATCATTGGTGAAGTATTTAGTTGTATTAATTTAAAAATAATAATATCTTTTACTTTTCTTGATAGAAATTTTTAATTACAAAATTAATATAATAATATTGTGTAACTAATAAAATATCTAAAAAATGTACTTATGAATTATTTTTTTAAACACTTGATATTATAATTTGTATAATGTATTATTTTTGTACATTTATGTATACAACATGTCTATCACAGTGTTCACTTAAGTAAGGGTCTGCAGTAATTACTACAATATATCTTTAAATTTAAAAATTCTATATATATTTTTTTTTTATATTTATCATACAGATTGAATATTTCAAAGAGATTTAAATATACTGTACATCATAATAATGTCATGTATACTTGCGTGAACGCTGCCATGGCTATGACGTACCAAATGGACCACATCAAAACCTTACTATCGGCGTACGAATGTCTGAAGTCGCAGAAGTGGTCGAACACAATCTCAGATGGCACGATCTGAAACTCAATTATGTGTATCAAATAAAATAATATGTCTCTTGTATAATGAGATCTGAGGATTTAACTTAACCTAACATGCATGCAGTGTCGTGTGTACGCAATCTACCGACGTTAATAGTGATCTATGTCTGAATATTGTCTAAATATAAATTGCAAAACCAATAATTTTGTAAGACTTGAGCAAGACATTAAATGATTTATCCACCAAAAACTATTGTCAATAGTTTAATACGTATTACATAATATACCTATATGGTTGAATTACAAATCAATCGTAGATGTTTAAAAAAAATACATACGTTTTAGTCATTGTACTCGTATAATATAAAAAAATATTCAAAGGAAATTTATTTATCTTCACATTTTAGTTTAGTTTAAGCTTATTAAACTATAACGCCCTGAAGATTAAACACAAAAATTGTTATAAAGTACCATATTATGTAAAACAAGCCAATGGTCGAGGCTTTCTTTTTTAATGAAAAAAAAAAACATCAATTAAAGACTAACTTTAAAATCAACATATTTTTTTTTTAATCATTATTATTATTAGCTTCTAGTGTAAACTTTGATAGCTTAAGAAAAAATTAATATACTGTGATAAAAACATTATTTAAATTCACTCCAGGCGTATAATAATTGCATTTGAATAAGTGACAGCGAGTGACAATAAGTGCCTACTGACAATTATGATAAATTAATACATTCTCATAGTCAGTATTGTGTTTAAAATTATTGATTTTAAAAAATAATTAGTATTTTCTATGCTCTGGATAGTTAATATTTTAAATATAAAAGCTTTAATAAGCTACTTAAATATAAGTAAGTGTAAAAAATGTATCTGAATGATTCCTAAATGGATTTCCTATGTTGACTGAAAAAACTTGGGCGAGAAGGGAAAAACAACACCTCGGGAGAACTGGAAAAACTAATCTTGATACTCGTTTTGGGCGAAAATATAATGGTGGTTTTCGGACAAGAACTTTACCACCCTGGGGAGACGACATCGTGTGCACATGCTACTCAAATTCTCACGTTTGGTGTGTCGGTTTTTTTGGTCGACGAGTACTTGGGTATAGATGGGTCTAGGATGGCCGCATTTGAGAAACCATCACCACCGACGTCTCCCGCACGAATGAACGTTTTGCTGTTTCCGACGGATGGCAAAAAGCACGCCCATGCGGTCGCAAATGTCACGACTGGAAAAAAAAATTAACCAGTTACATATCCTTACATCAATAACACTAGATACTCGAACAGGAACGTCGGACTACGAGTGTCAACTAGCGTAACTTGGACCATGGTGTGTGTGTGTGTGTGTGTGTGTGTGTGTGTGTGTGTGACCTAGAATAGAAAACACGTGATACATATATTACAGGACAAGTCCCAACTAACTTTTATAATAAAATGATAAAAATTACAAAATAACATAGCAAACAAATGTTATGGCGGGTGATAATAATGTAATTATATCACCTACATCGTTCTCTGTAGTTACGCCACTATTGAGTATATTATAATATTCATATAAGGGTAGGTATGTGTATGTGCGTTGTAATTGGTGGTTATATTGTGCTTTAGAAAATGAATTACAATGGTAATGTTAAAAATAGGTAAAATACATAATGTATAAATTATTTTTTCCAAAAATTTTGTTCAAGCATGGCACAAATAAACACACATATTCTGATAATTCATGTTTTTGTAAGATTTTTTTCCCCCATCGCCCGGGTTTGCAATCAGACGTCACTTGTGCATCAAATAAAAAAAATACAAAAAAATAAACCATTTCGTAAACCGTACAGGCGAGACTGTAGTAAGGCAATTCGGAGTAATTTCGTTCGCTGAAGTAGACCACCAGCTGACCCAAGAGGCCGCCCACGCACGTGCCGCTTAACATCCCGGATTTGGCGAACCCTGTGGCTATCTGATAGTGTTCTTTGTCCTGGATCTTGGAGTACAGGTAACCGTAATACGCCATCTCGATGCACGCGAACAACGACAAGCAAACCTCGGTCACCTGTTGGACACACGCACACACGCGACCGTATAGGTAGGTACACATCCCACTAGGCACAAATAAATTTAAATGTAAAATATTTTTTTTTCTGGCTTCATTACTGCTAATCCGAAATTTAAAGACATTGAAATGGAACCATATAGCCTGATTTCAAATCACGTTATGTTTCGAATAATCTTCTATAAACTTGTCATAGGGCAAAAGTGCAAAACTAATGGCATGTAGGCACGTTTAATGCTCAACAAAAATCACATAAGCTTTTGCAAATATGAGAGATATCGTCGTAAATGTTTCATCAATACATCACATGTTTTTGAATGAAATAAATAGTATGAACTTTATGACTTATTCCAATTAAAATAAATTCTGTTATTCCCAGAACCACTTTCAACTTATAAATACTATTATTATAGATCTTTAGATGGTGAAAATGTTACATATATTATGTTATGGTAATCGGCCATGAAATCAACTCATTAAGAGTATCTGGGACAGCTTTCATTTTTGAACGGGTTACTGATAGAACAAATAGGTACAATATAAGTAAAAAATCATGTTCGTACATGAAACGATTTTATTTCTAAACAAGAGGTACTCCACCGCCAAAGAACACGATGACAAATGAAAAAAAAATCAAATTTACTAATAATTTATGATCATTATTTCCGGTAGGTGGCGAAACATTGACACTGGTTAAATAAGAAAATAACAGTGCGATAATAAGATACTTATACAGTCTTAAGTCCTAACGTCTCACGCCAAAACTGACAAGTACAAACAGTTACGCCTAAATGTCCCACACTCCCCCCCCCCCACCTAACAAATAATATGTATGACGTTTGGGAATTAATTATACATAATTATATATATTGTATAAATAAAATGCACTGGTAACCAACAATTATTATAGCTCAACTCTCACAACTCACAAGACTATATTGTCTCGGGAAAACATTTTTTCGGTTACTCTGATAGGTACTGCAATTAATTATTGAAGTATTATATGTAGGCAGCATGTGAATGCTTACAAACTATATGGTGCCACATTATTATAGCCTTTAGGGAATTACTGGAAGGTATTAGTCCCAGTATTATACAATGATATAAGATTTGTACATATATTATTATTAATTATTATTTATATATATATAACTTATAGTAATAATATAATATCTCAGCACTCTTCTCCCGGCCGACATATTGAAAGATCTCTCATTTATTAGATAACTCGGATGTTTGATGTTTTAAAATATTATATTATTGTTAAACGCGTTTTCTTGTAAAAAAACAAAGTTTCTTGGTTTTGTAGATCAATAGATATTTTTTTGCAGGAGCGAACTAGGCATGCGTACAGGTGGGAAAATTCCCACTGGGCCGTACCTCATATTTAGATTTCAGAGCCGGTGTCTATAATACCTACCTATGAAATATTACGAATCTAAGAAAAAAAAAGCCCCGGAAAAAAAGGCCCAATATCATAATACGGTGAAAAAAGCCCCGTCTATAGGAAAAAAAAGCCACGTACTATATACATGATTCTTTTTTTTTTGATTTGCATGATTACATATAATCATAATATCATAATGTAATCATTACACTTATTTTATTAATTATTAAACTATTTTATTATATTATTATGCATCTAATTTATTACAGGTACTAGTTGGTACATTTATTTGATTAAAAAGTAGTTACATAAAGGTAGTTATTTAAAAAAAATTATATTTAGTATATGACATTAAACAATAACTAATTATATCACAGTTAAATATCATTCCATAAATAACATTCCTTGAGATACATTACTCTTATAAAATATACAAGTATAGTTGCAATCCATAATATAATTGTCTTTTGTCATTTGTACATAATTAAAAAAATGTTTTAAGTTAAAAAATTAAAAAAATTATTTAGTAGCATTGATTTTTAATGTTGTGGCTAACCGCCATTAGAAAATCTAATATATTCATATCATTATTACTATAACTACATGAATGAAAAAACCACATTTTTAATAATAAAATGTTGTAGATACTAAGATAGAGTCTACAATAAAATATAATACCTTCATAATTTTTAAAATAAAGTCAAATGTAAATTACTTTTATTACTATATAGTATATAGGTACTTTAATCTCTTATATTTCAAATGTATGTTTATACCTAAGTAGTTTAAAATATTAGGTTTATTATTTAATTAAATATTATTATGATATAAAAGTATATAAAAATTATATATTATATATATTATATGGTTATAGATATATGGCCATTGATAAATAATAATATATTGTTTAAAAATAAATTAAAAATGATGAAATATATGCTTTAATAAAAAAAATTGTTATGTACTTAGTTGGTACCGGGCTTTTTTTCCTATAGGCGGGGCTTTTTTTTTTACCGTATTTTGATATTGTTCCTTTTTTCCGGGGCTTTTTTCTCCAAATACCAATATTACTTGTTATGTCTATTATTTAATAATAAATATGTGAAAAAAGGCTTCCCCCGTGGCTGGTTCTTTGTTTCTAACGCACTATAATATATATGCGCCTCGTTAAAAATATGTCAAAATATAGGTACTCGGGGTGCTCTTTCATATACCTACGTATCATACTAATTATACCATTATTCGAAACGTCGTGGGCGAATTGACCAGATTGGCGTATGCCACTATACCCAGCATCCCGTTGAATACCATCACCGGCTTGTATCGCAAGTAGTCGGACGACAGGAACACCAGAAACGATCCGATCACTCCTAAGTATATCCTGATCGGTGTAAATACATTGGAAACCTGCGCAAAACAGTAGCACAACCGATAATACAATATAAATATTTGGACTTCCTCGGGATTTGTTTGAAAAAAAAACTTAAATCCAAGCTTGACCTTATTTTTATTCGTAGATACAGCTGCACAAGGTGTATACTTTATAAGATTATGATCGTATATTATGCAATAACCAATAATAACCAACTACATTATAGTATATTACATAATAGTGCAGCATTGCACGTAATGCTGGATGTCTTAAAAGCCCTTGTCCGATTTAAAATATAAATAAATATTTATTTAAAAAAAGAAAACACAGGGGTAGGTCGAAGTAGAATATATTCTTAAGATAATCAAGTTTTAATTAGTATTTTTTTTTTACAAACGTCTTCATCTTATACATTAAATTACAATCGCTAATCCCTGGAATTCGAGTACCGTAAATACAGGTACGCCGGACGGACAGTGAGGGATCATGTTATAGAGCATTTGTAAGCAAACTGTATTTAAACTTGATTATTTTAAGAATATATATTGGAATTCGAATCAAACCAACCCTTGTATCTTCTTTTTAATAAAAAATATGAATTATTGAGACACCTTCATTTTGTACAATTGTTATGTGCATTCGGATTACACGGATTTTTGATGTATTATGTTATAATCGGGCCGAATTATTTTTTAAATATAACTTCGTATAGAAACTAAAAACTAATTTCGGTTGTAAACGCCAATATTCCAACGATTAATATCATCATATTTATATATTTTTTGTGTTCATAAAATTGGACACTGCCGTGGTGCTTAAGAGTGGAAAAAACGTTTGACGTACCCCGAATTTTGAGAATTAAAAAATAAATAAATACACTTATGCCATTTCCATTGCTGGTTATTCTGGCAACACTCTTACGTAATATTTTGTAGTATTCAACTATATAAGTTATAAGTATATACCTAAGTATACACCGACGAAATAATAATGGTTTTCGAAATCGCATTAACGATTCCGCTTGTTTCGTCACGAAAGCTTAATACTGCTTTCACACGATTCATTTTGTTATTTTCAAGCTTCTGTTTCTTTTTGGTTTTTTCTTTCCGGCGACTTTGACACAAAACACAAAATAGATTTTTTTAAATTAAGGAAGAATGGTTTATTTTTTTTTGTTCCTTCCATTCGATGATTTTGGCTTTGTCTATTTACATTATAAAGAATTGATTTTACGACAGTCATATTATATACGTGACTTTTGCTCGCTTTTTCCAAAACTGAAAATGGTTAATAATTCAGGACCGACACGTGTGCGCCGGAAACAAAAAAAAGGTCTTTGAGTTTGTTTGAGTTATCGATTCGACGAACTCCCACAGAATAATAATACAATGTATTAATCGAAATGAAAACGATTTTTAACAACTATTTCGACAATACAAGTGTTGTTCAGCTGGCTCCTCCGATTTTCAGGTAGTTGATTTTAATGATGGATTTATATCATGTATCTAATACAAATTTTAAAGGTACATTAATTCTTTGACGTGAAAAAATAAATATAATCTACACCGTCTACAATTTTTAATGTAAATTAAAAATAATGAAACGTTATACTCGAATATTGAGTTCTAAGAAGAAAACACAATTTTCAAATTGTCCTAGTCAAGTCCCGATTTTTATAAACATTTATCTACATTGAGTACCGACTTTTAAAATACTTTTATAATAATTATTATACTAGTTGAGTCCCGGCGTAATAGACATACTTATTGCACAACCACGCGCATAGCCGAATCGCTAAAAAAAATCCCACAGAAAAAAAGACCAGAAAAAATTTAAATATAAATATGAACACAATATGCGTACATAGTCTATGGTGTTATAAGTTATAATTTAGAATTATAAATTGTTTTATATTGAGTCAAGAAACATCAGTTATACGTATATTCTATTTTTATACAAAAATTACACAACTATACAAACTAAAATATAATAAGTCAATACAAGGCAATAGTACTTACCTATAATATTAGTTCGTTACTCAAGTTTTATAAAAGGAGAATATATACACATTACATACCAATAGACTTCATATATTTTTTTTTTCATCTTAGTTAAATCAGTGATTACTATTATTTATGACCAACATCTGTTATCTTTATTATAATATAGTATACACTATTATTGTATTATATTTTTTCGAATTAAAATAAACGAAATATTTTAAAAATATAAAATAGTACAGTTGTACTATTTTTGGCACAAGCATGGACATTTATCTGCGTTTGCTTTTTTGCCGTGTTAAGTTTATTCTTTTGTGCTTTGTTATAGCAAGATTTTTTTTCTGGGCTTTATTCTTTCCGGGATCTTTTGTCCGACTACCCTCGTGGCCACGTAGAGAATAGGGGTAGGCTGGTAGGGGAAACAAAGGTAAATTCGCCATTTGAGTATTCTCCGCTGTGTAGCTTTGCAAAGATGATGGAATCCAGCTTTGTTTTTGCTTATGACCATTGACCACTAGAATCAGTCATTATTTTGCCTTCTAGTTACATGTGTTCGTGTTTTAATATTATTTCTTCGATTTCTCGCCTAGCTGGTCCCAGAAAAGTAATGAATACTTATACAATTATAAAATTATATTATTATCATTATAAAATTATAAAATACATTAAGATTATATCGTATTATTTTATATTTTATTCGATCTAGTGTTTTTTGATCAGAATTTTCTAAGATTTCAAAACAATATTTGTTTGATCATATAAGTACTCAGCCGTCAATATAAGATCCTAGAATATATAGATTTTTTAATGGTATCGTTCCGGGAAAATTAGCCATCCAATGAGTGATTTTGTTGGCCAAGTGGTAACTTTGCTTGACTAAGATTTATTATACTTAATAAAATGTTATTCAAACCATTTTTAATATATTTTAAATGGACATTATAATATTACAGGTAACATGTAATTTGAGTCACACTATATTCGTAATAATATTTTTACAGAGTTTACCCAACCAAGAGGGACGGATCCAGGTCTCCCCCAGCTATATTATGTCTCCAAGTTTCATAAACATTGACTTTTTTTTTAAAAAAAGCCATAATATGAAAAGACGGTTGGATTTTTTTATTTAATATAAACCATTAATTAATTTATTAACTACAACATTAAGATAATACTAGTATTGGCAAACATTTTAAATTAAGAATGAAGGGTATATTGTAATGTATTGGACTTGTGATATAAAAATATTGTTCCCGCCCCGCCATATCTTTGATCTAGATCTGTACCTAGCAACCTGCAGTGTGGGTAAAGTGGCTATACTTTGTACTTTTTTAGTACCGACAATATTTACATATTAAAATCAAACTAATTTTAAGAAAATAAGGTATTAAATTTAAGAAGGTAATTTCTTGTTAATATTGGTATATTTTTTTATAGCTTTTTTTGATTGAAAAGAGTAAAAATCATTAATTGAACCTAACCTTAGGATAGTCACTTTACCTATTTTTTCTTTATATAATTTTGAACATCAATTTTTATTGTTATAGTTGCTCAAATCTTAAAGTGAAGTTTTTCCTGGTACTCAATTAGTATGTTTTTAGGACTCGATTTGGATGCTGCCATATGTATAAAAAATATTATAATTTATAACAGGGATATTTTTCCAAATTGAACGTTAACGGTTAATTTAATAATTTAATACACACATATTGATTAAGTTTACTATTAACCAATGTTACATATTAAGTATAATATAACAGAGGTGGTTAAACTTTTTTCGATAAGTGTATATTTCGACGAGTGTATCTACTCATGTGTGTATGTATGTATGTAATATGTATGTGTGTATGTATGTATGTAATATGTATGTATGTATGTATGTATGTATGTATTTATGTATGTATGTATGTATGTATGTATGTATGTATGTATGTATGTATGTATGTATGTATGTATATATGCATACATGTACCTAATATCTGGGGTTTAAAAAATTAAGATTAAACACATTTTGAGTAGGTTCCTCTCAGTGACTAGTGAAGTACACGGGGAGTGGGTAAAATATAATTAAAGTTTTGAGATACAAACAGTAGGTAGAAAATACAAAGGTTATCCTTATATTATATATAAAGAAAGAAATACTATACAAAAAGATAACTTCAATAAAGTCGTTATTGTTGTGTAGACTGAACGTGTAATAGTATAATATGAAACACCACGATAGAACAACAGATTGAAATAAGTACAGAAAAAAAACTCCACCTGGAGTAGATTGGCGTACTGCAAGAAATGTGTGTAGAGAAAAGAGTCATAATAACAATATGGATATGATACTTTGTCTTGAGAGAAATATATATCATATGGTTGACGAAACTTGAACTTAAACAAATAACTTTCGAGTGACTTTATTATAATATTGACAATATGATGCTACTCGAATATAACTCGTTGGGGATTTTGAGTGTGCACTGAAGCATCAGTACATACTACATATTACTAAGTATAATTACTATTATATTATTTAAAATTTTAAGTACATTACAATTTATTTAGTTTTATATGTAAATTAAAAAAGTTAGTTCTTTCGGCTCTGTCAACAAAGATAATTGAAACTAAAGAAGAGCACTCGTGGACGATTGTAGGAAGAAAAATAGAAATAAAAAGCTAGAATAATCCCTTGTCTGTTTTTCGACGAAAATCAAAAATGTTTGGTAAGTACGCCGAGTAATAGGCAAGTGGTTGATAAATGTCGGTTAGGACATTAATTGTCTGTAACAATAATGTACAATAAATATTTCCACACACAATATGAGTTCATTAGGTGACTATTAAGTATCTATATATAACGAACAATGTTTAAAAATTAGGCGTAACGAAGTAAACGGTTGGTAATTTTTAACATATTAGCTCACTAGTGACTGGACTGTGATGGAGTAAGGGTTCTAATCTAGTGCTGTGGTTGCAGGGTTGGACCTGTCCCTCTATAATTTCCAATTCGTCACGTAATTTATTTGTATCTACTTGAATCATGCAAATATGTATATACGTCTAGTCTAGTCTTTAGTTATTCGGTGGAAGCGTACTCATAAAGTGGTATAGACGTACCAAAACTGAGTTTGAGTGCTCATCAATTGTATAATATATCAGTATCATATCGGTGCTCAACAGTGAACATCAAGGCCACAGGCGGAAATCGAGGGGGAGGGGCTGAATACCCCAAAAGTCCGTCAATCCCCCTCCAAAATTCCAACAGATATTGTGAAGGGGCAAGCCCCCCCCCACGAATTATGACCGCGGGCGATACGCAGCAGGGTGCCGCCGCGAATAGTCTCAAACTATATTTCAATAACGTATTTTTTTTTAGATGTAAAATTGATTACACTTCATTTTCTATACACTTATTGGCTGTCGCATCAAGCTTATTACTTTTATCGAACAAGTCGGACAAAGACAACAATCTGCACTCATATAAATTGATAGTATTGATATCCTCGTATATTATGCGAGGCATATTCAAATATCAATATGTATATATTATATACTAGTCATATATTTATAGCTACTCACTGCAAGTTTACTGGTCGGAGTGAACACTTAGTACCATTGATTACACTAATGGTGGAATTTATGTACATAAATTCAGTCCGAGTGCACACACATTTTACAATGTCACCATCGTATCGGACCGCAACAACGAACATCGTGATGCGAAACACCAAAAATAATTTCAAACCATCTCAATAACGCGTATTTTGTTAGTATGCAAATTGATTATATTCGAACTACAATTATATTAATATAATATAAATTATACAATTATATAAATTATTAATTTTATTACTGCTGCATAAAGCATTTTACTGTTATTAAAGTCGGGCATATTCGCGTAGATAACGAAAGAAATATAATTATTACGCGTTAAGTATAAGCTGAAAATACTTAAAAATAGGATGATATACATAATATACTATATAGCTACAAATGTTAAAAGTTACAAATTGATTTTATTTGCCTACTTAACTCGGTTTATCGAACTATCGAATGTATAATTTAGTTTTAGACTGTTAGTATATAGGTTACATTATAGTATAACACATAAACATTTTTTTTTATCAAAAAGTTTCATTTAATAGGTACCTATTTTAATAAATGATTATTACCTAAATAATTATTTTTATATCTGATTGCCATGAAAAACATTTCGAATTTCAGCAGTCAATCGATCAGAATGTTTACAATAGTAGAAGGTTTATTCGTCTTCCTTAACATAGCTGCAGATACCCTATACTCGTGGGCGTCAATACTTAATGTGTGGGCGTGTGTGTGTACAATAGCCGTTTATACATACCTCGTTTAGCGTCGCGTTGACGGACGGTCCGGTCAAGTAAGCCGTCAGAAACGAATCCATCGGTCGTATTTCCACCGTGAACGTGAAAACTGTGACCATGACCGTTATGAATTTCCAGTGATCCATAGTGATGGCGGTGGTTGTTATTTTATCCGACTCGGAATACCACCGTTAAAATCACGCGCAGGACCTCGTGATGCGTTTATCTCGCAAAAGGTATACTTTTGGAGTATAGGTTAGGTTGGGCTACGTATTAATACTATTCACAAATCACGCAGGCATCAATACTCGCAATGTCGATATTCTAGGATCGAAAAAAAAAATTGGCTAGAGAACACGGCACAAACTGCAGATCCTAAGAGAACGGTGGTTGTAATAAACAATATTAAAAATTGAAAACGAACTTTGGTCGCTTCACGCTTGTATATAATTATGCCGACTGCCGATTATAAAATTCAAAAGTAATATACATAACATATGTTTTTGGACTAGATTTTTTATATATTTTCGTCGGTGAATCTCGGTATCCACTTCTCTTAAAATCACCGAGGTAGTCGAATCCTAACAGGTTGTATAGAAACGTATACAATATATTCGGCATAAGTATTGGACGTTAACTGCGGTCGTCGCGGCGGCGATAAAGGAGTTGATATCATGCTTATATTGTGTAATTCAAGAAAATAATATTTATAACCTAACCTTACCTAACCTATTGACCATTGCAACCTGTGTAGGTGCTCTTTTTTTTAAAACTTTTTTTTCAACCTAGCAAATTGTACGTTAATACATATATGTAATGAATAATGATAATGTATAATCATTATTATGAATAACGTAGGTTATGTCAACATTGTAAAACACGCATACTTTTCATGCTAGATAGATTTAATAGGTATTTATAATTATATCATATAAACTTACTGTTTACAAACTATAATAATATATTATATCTATACCTATATGGTCGTTCACTCGTTCTGTCTGACCTTACTATTTCAATAGTTATTTACTTTTCATCATTATTTATTACTTTTTATTCTGAATCGTCAAATTCTAAACATAAAATAATGATTTATTTTTCTAAGAAAAAATATATTTCTTCTTATTACAATCTTAGCATCTTGGTAATCCTAGTTTTTTTTCTAGTTGCCCTAGTTTTATCAAATGTATTTTTTTACCATATTTTTTTGCTTATTTCAAATTTAGTTTCTTTTACTGTACCTTTTTTTGTCAAAATATCTTTTTTGTGTTTCTTGGTTTTATACAATTTTCTATTTTTGATTTTATTTTTATCAACATGCATATATTTTATAGGTAATCGACCAACTTATTGTAAGTGTTCATACATAATAGATTGAGCAACTAAAAGAAAAAAACGCACTTTATAATAGCTGGGTACGAAAAATCAAACCACGAAGAAAATTGACAACGAAGTAATTTAACAAACAATTACCACCAAACACACACATATACAGAGTATATACTACACCATACAGTAGTAAATATAGTCCTCCACTATCCGATTATGTTTCTGAATTCACTCAACCCTTCGGGATTGCCATCACATAAACTATTATTAAAAATATGCACTCCAATAACTCTACTTCGAGTAGAGTGGATTTACTACCGCAGTAGATTTTGAAACAGCACAACACATACACATCACAATTCACATCCCATTTCAAATCTTCGGCAGTAAATCGGTTTAGCTAGAATGTTTACAATGGGAGATACTTGTCTTTTTAACATTGCAAATTCCCTATACACTTGTGGACGTTCATACTTATACGGGCGTTGGGGTGTGTGTGTGTTATAAACTATAATTGTTGTTTAATATATTGTATACATTGTTTAGCGTCGCGTACTCGCGTTAGACGAGCTGGTTAAAGTCTGTCGCCTGCAGAAACGAACCCATTGGTCGAATTTCTACCGAATTGTACGCGAAAATGAATAGTGGTGACTATGTCCGTTAATTTTTCCAAAAATCCACAGTGGCAGCTGCATCGCTTTTGTCTGCTGAGTATTAAAAATTAATACTTAATGTATTAAAAGTCAATATGTGACGATCGAGATAAATAATAATTTAGTATAAGTATTCTTATCTATCTCGATGTTACGATACGTCGACACTGAAGACGATCGTCAACACCATTTAGGCCCTATTGTTGTTTTTTTAAACCCAAGTGAAACAAATTTTTATAGTACATTAAAACGATAACTGTTGTAAACAATACAAATTTAAAACGAATCGTTCAAGACGCACCTTGTACCTAAAACAGTAGGCCTAGTCGATTGTATTATATCATATTGTGCTGATTAGAAAATATATACTTATATAGTAATATTATGAATATTTATTTTTCAATAATATTTTATTGTATTATTTTGTTTTTGGAGTAGACTTTATTTATTTCCGTAAGTCAATATCGGTACCTATTTTCTATCTTTTCTTGTGGGTGTTGAAAATCACCTTCATTGTCGTCATGTCATAAGTTGTAGAAACTCATATAGACAATGCTGCAGCCTGTAGTTAGTAGCAACTCATCGTTGCATGGCGATATAAGATAAGATGAAGTCGATATTATGCATGTTTATAGACTAGAGTGACATTCAAACGAATGCAATTTTTGATTATTTAGTATTAACCTATTAACCATCTTCATATAGTCCGTTTATACTTGTTAATTTGTATGTTTCATCCTAGCCTAGTTATTACGTACTCGATATGTAAGTATGTAACCATGTAGGTGCAATAAAACACCAGATTTAAAATGGGCATCTTCAAGATGAGCGTTACGTACCTACTGCCAGTGGTAGATGACCCCATCCCCCCATTTCCCCTCTTTTTTTCTAAAAAGCAAAGTGGCACTATCGTTATGGAAATTGAATTCTATTTTTAAAACATCGATATTTCTTTATTACACATAATTTTGGTTTTTTTTAAATTATAGTAACTTACTTGATATTATACAAAAGTGTAACATAATGTATGCATCCATATGCATGCATATCATAGGTGCAGTGTAAGGAACTCAGTAATAGCTAATAATAAAAATCTTCGCATGTTAGGTACATGTAGTATAGTTATCTAAAAGTATTTGATTTATATGACATTACTACATTAGACGTAATACAAGAAAAATAATGTTATTTTAAAATTACACCACTATCAGATGACAGGCAACCTGATAAAAATTTTATGTTTATTGATTCATTTAGGGGTACCTACACAAAATTAAATAAAGGTCAGGTTTAGATTCTAAAATTTGAAGTAAATCGGATTCCAATATTTTTTAAATGTGGTTCCGAGCATGGAAATTCAAATTTTGAACAAAACTGATGATAAAAAAATTGAAGCTCACTATTCAAAAGATATTTACAACCTATTGACAATAAAAAAAGTTAAATATAACTGAGAAATTCTGATTTCCATTTAATAATATTAATACAAGACGTGGTGGCATTGTAATCCAGTTGTAAATCGAGGTTAATGAAATACTATCTATTCGTATAATTAAAATATAAGATTACATCAATCAATAATAAAAAAAAGCTAAAAAAATGTGGAAAAGACGTATGATAATGATGCATCATAATTACTTTAACTGCGCATTAGATTATGGTAAAATATGCGACATTAATTTTTATAGCAAAAGCCTTATAGGTTGATTAAAAATATTATAGTCGCGATATAAATTGATTCTCCGATGACTCTTTTATAATAGTTGTACAGCAAATAAGACAAGAGTATTGAATACATAGAACTAAACTGGTAGGTATATGTCAAGTTAGATAACAACCATTTAGAAAATTATTATCTAACCGATTATATTGTTTTGTTGGAATAAACTGTATGTATAGCCGTATAGGTATACATTTTGGTTATAAATGCATAATACATAAGTAATTATAGGCAGTTCCTACAAATGTACAACAATATATTATGAGTTATGACTAATTTTATTAATTTGTATCATACATTGCATTTGTGTTTTGCATAAACATTATACAATGTCAAATATTATCAGAATATTTATTAAATTTGTCATAATTTATTCATAATAATATCGTTGAATATAATATATCAGATAATACGACCAGCAACACCAATCTATACTGTTACACTCAAATAACCAATTAATCAAGGAATCTATGTACCTATATACTACTATTTCCATAATATCATTTTTCTTTTATTATTAGGGGTAAACCGTGGACACGTAGGCCGTTGGGTGTGGGGTGGTACGGTAGGGAGTTTTTGGTATAGGTTTAGTATAGGTTTGTAAGATAGTATGATTGTAACAAGTGTTTGTGTATGTGTGGCAAGAGTGGTTGCTAAAACCTGGGTGGTCACCCATCCCAGAGCTAGTCACTATGTACGCTCAGAGCATTGGCGTGGATTGAGCATACGACCGAGCCTCACCAAGCCACCCTATATTATTACTATAGGGATATTTTATTTTATACTTTTATTGCTTTGGGCAGTTTATTTTTCTATTAATTTACGGTACGTCGGTACGTTGGACTAATTTTTGCTAATTGAAATCGAAAATATTACATATTGATTAATAATTATCATATTATAATTTTATAAAATAATATTTTACCATGGCTCATGTAACTTATACTTAATCAATATCTACCTACGTATAGCGGTAAAACTACAGTGTGAATAAGTTCATAGTATAAATGGCTTGAAATTGATCTAAATGTTTTGAAATTTTCACTGTAGGTATCTGGTAGGATATAGAAAATAAAAATAATAATTTGTGCCTATCAATAAACTATTAAAACATTAATAATAGAAATAATAATTTTAAAAAGAGACAACTTATTTTACCAATCATCAAAAGTTAAGACCGGACTTTTTATCGGACTATTTTTATGTATATTATATTATAATTAATTCTCCATTTCCTAGTTGGTGGGCAACACACATCTTATGTAATATTGTAATTACAGATAAGTGATAAGTGACTAAAGGCATGACATCTCGGGATCAGCTTTATTCAGTTATAATAACTTTGTACTAGAAAATTAATTTGACGTAAGGACATAATATTTTGATAAACATTTAAAGCTCCGCGGTTGCGAAATACGCTTGAAAAAGCAATACAAAATCCTACATAAGTTATAATTCAGTTATTCTTACAGTAATTTAAAACTATTAAAATGTATTGACACAATTTTTTTTCATCGCTGTTTAAAATTCATATGTTGATAAGATTAGTCAACATCATGTAAATAATAAATATACAAATAATTTTGTAGTTAAAACTCTATAAACTGTTCAACTTTCATAAGCCGCAAGGCCTTGACAATGTAATTGGTTGTTTTTCAAAAAATGTTCATACATAGGTATTTATAGAAACCTAAAAATCTCAAAAATACATATTATGCACAATTAATTTTAGACATTTCAAATTCTATAGTTGACAAAAATTGGTTATACAACGAAAAACCACGAATTTATTTATTTTGTTGTGATATAAAATATATTATGCATTGGGACTTGAAACTCTTCTCTATACTCGTATTATGGTCCACGGTGCTCTTAGAATAACCGATTAGAAGAATCTATTAAGTTGATTATATAGAAATATTTACGAACTTAGGTATAAGTTAGATCTATAACCAATAATCATACAAATACAATAGAACATTGGTCAAAATCAATGCATATACCTAATATATTATATTATACTAGTATAAAAAAATGTAAATGTCTGCAGTTCCTCTTATTCTGTTCTCTATAATATATTCAGTATATAGCTTCCACTTAATACTACACATGGCCCATTTATTTGTGAGAGACTATTTACGATGTATAATCAATAATCATGGGAGATTTGCCCAGAGTGGTAGTCCAGAATTTTCGGTTTTATATAGTAGATATTATACCATCAACCACAGTGAGCTCTTTCTTACCTGTTTGACTGTATTCTTATCATACTCTTTCCAATAAAAATGTCACCATATATATTCATGTAGCAGTTGGCCAAGTCTCTATCGAGCCTTTAGTGGCCATAAAATTCAGGATCTCTTGTATGTAATCACTTCATTGATTGCTATAATCCATTATTCACTATATAATATTTGAATCGATTCATCATAATAAATTGATGTGGTCAATATTCTAAAATAATTGATCACACATTTGTATATAACCTGAATATACTTAATAATATGTTCTTTATTGATACTTATTTGTTCAACCCATATTTTTGTTACCGAAATCTGCAGATGTTTTATTACACGACAGCCTACAGAACGTGACGCGAAAACAAATTTTAAAGCTTACAAAAAAATGTAAAACTGTAAAATGTCCATAACTTGGTTTACAATTAAAATACTAAAACCTATATGTACAGGAGCGATCACATTAATGTTTCGAGCACAAGTTCGTGTCTCGTGGTCGTACCTCGGAAGAACGAGTATAAGCTATACAACTTATAACGACACCCTGTCTAAATGGCTACATGTTATAGAACTTAGACTTGCAGATTTTATAGTATAATAATTACATACTATATTATGTCTATCGTCCGTGTATGCAAATCAGGTAACTAACTTATTTTTATTTTCATGATCGAACCTAGTCGAATATTCATAAAAAAATATAGTTAGTATTTTTGTGTATTATGGTCTATTACGTTCTGGTTTTATAAAATATTATTAACAAAAAGTATTTTAGTTTCTTGTGATTAGTGTGTTTTACAGAAACCGCGGGTACGATAATTTTCAATAAATTGCATTTAGTATTACGCACAATAACAATAATTTTTCGTTTTCAAGAGCCCTCGCTTGATTGTCTGCCCGACTGCAAATCGTGCCCGGGCCAGCTGCAAGGTTGAGTGCGTGTGTATGCGTATGTGTGTGTGCGCGCGCGCACTGTGTGCAGCCGTAGTGATGACGGAGCGCGGGGCAAGGCGGTGGTGCCGGGTGACAGATCGCCGCCGACGCGCACCGCGTAGCCCGACAGGTTGGCCAACCGCGTGTCGACGACAAATCGGTGGCCGACCGACCGTCCGTATACGTCCGTCGCGGTGGCCGCCGCCGTCGTCTTCACCCGTCGGCGGGCGACCGATGGTGGTAACAGTGTTCGCCGCGCACACTCGACCGTCGTAGGACCGCCGCCGTCGCACGACCGTAGTCCGTACGACTCGTGCACGACATTCGGTTGTAGTCGTCGTCGTCGTCGCTGAGAACGCCGCGCGGTTACGTCGATCGAGTTTAAACGACCAAGGCGGGGCCAACACGAGGGCCTGGACGGCGTCCCGATGATCGTGACCATGGAAAGGAAACTGATATCGGAACTGATTGAAGAGTACAAGTTGTGCACCTGCCTGTGGAGGATCAAGGACCCCGACTACAAGAACAAAGAGATGAAGAACGAGGCGTACGAGTCGCTGCTGCAGTTGATAAAAAAGTATTATAATGATTTTAATAAAATACTGGTACTGGCCTACGGTACGGGGCGAGCGCAATAATAATATGAACATCACCTGTTTACGAAAAAACACGCGGTGGCCGATTGCGGAGCGTGACAGGTCGTCAGCGACCTCAGTTGTAGACCGCGGCGGGCGGGAAACGGACGGGTGGGGAGGTGTCGGGAGGAGGAGAGAGCGCTTTTCAGCGGAGGCGGCGCGCGGCGGTGGACGACCTTTGAAATAATAATAATTCGCGAACTTAGATTGCGAGTTGCGACGTAGGTACCGACTACTTATACGAATTGCATTTCCGCCACCACCGCTCATATGCTTGACAAATATAAACGTAAGGGATCATTACAACTCCCAGCGACTATCAAACGACGTCGCCGTTTGCTTAATTATAAATATATTATGTACCTATGCAATATAATGCACGTACTAATAATAATAAATTTTCTGTACCTATAACCCGACTTCGCTCTAAAAAATTGACTAACATAATATTATATAGCTTTGTACCCACACATCGTCAGTGGAATACCTAGGGGAGGTGGCTATCAGGGCTCAGCCCCCCCGCCCAAACATTGGCCGTGTCATCATAAACATCTTATATAATAAAATGCGAAGTACAGACCATGATGATATATCTGAAAATGGTTTCAAAGAAACATTTTGCGTATTATCAATTATTTGTAAAGGTTATTAAGGTCATGCGATATAGTAGTAACGACCTAGTATAAGGTAAAGCATATCAAATTCTGATTTCCTTCCCCCCCTCCATAAATTATGGGCTCGCCACAGCCTATCATTGTACCTCGGCTTTAGTGTTCCTCAATGTCCACAAACAAATCGGTATGCCTTGATTTGTGAACTAATTCCACCGAGATGGACACTTGTTGAATTTTCGAACATGGTTCAAATTGCTGTCTAAACTTTTCTATATTAATAAAACCTAATCTATAAATAATATTGAAAAAATAAGCCAAAATCGTTCAAATATGCATATATTAATTAGTAAGTATTAAAATTATAAATGTTGTTATACATCACTATACAACGTGTTTCGGAATGAACCGTATTACCCACGGTCTTAGAAGATAAAAGCTCAGAAATGGGGCGGCATGCCCACCCAACGTGTTAAAATATTATTTCAAATTGAAGTACAAGTATTTATTGGAAAGCTTCACTAATCAGTTTTATTCATAAAAATATAAATAAAAATATAATATTTTGCTTTTGTATTTTATGTTAACCTACTTCATTCATAAACAGAAGTGTGACAAACAAGTAAAACCCAAAACTCCTGACTGATATTTCTTAATTTCTTTTTTTTGTTACCTGTAACTAATATAATTTTAAGTGGCGGTGTTATTTCACATAAGCTAACGATTTTCCCCTCCACCGTCAACCGTTGTTTTTAAGAACTATCGACGCACATCGTCGATGGCTGCTATAATGGAGGCAACGTATGATGTACGTTTGCTGACGTTTGAATTGGAGCTACTAAGTTCTGAATATTTTTTTAACATTATAGCTTCTCACGCTGTACGTTATCTATATTATCTATATGACCAATTTCATCTTGCTCGATATTTGTTGAGCGTCCTATTTTACTCTTTTATTTCTTAAGTAGGTACCTACTCAAGAATAATGCTATTAAAATTGACTCATGTTAATACTACTACAATCATATATTTGTATTTATAGAAGGAAATCACAAAATAATTAACAATTTAGCCATTTACAAACCTTAACACCTCTTTTTTCCTCATTTTTTTCTTACAAACGAATACGTTGTTTAATTGTAAAAAACCTTCAACTTATTTTTTTAACACGAAGGGCCCATAATCTCGAAATAAATTAAAAATATGTTTGTAGTCAAATCAGTTGATTACAGCTGCTATAGTAAACTAGATAGTCGATGAAAGGAAAATTAAAAAGACACGTAAATTTCTTGATTTTTTTAAGAATATAATGGCTCGAACTCATTTGTCATGAAATTATATTTTTAATGTTATGTGTTCTGTGCTCTGTTAATATTTGATATTTATTGCATCTAGATATAACGATAGCTGTACAATGGACGACCTGAAACGTAAAATAGCGAACCTGAGAACTTGCTACTTGCGGGAATTCAAAAAAGTAATGGATTCCAAAAGATATGGTACAATATACGAGCCCAGTTTGTGGTATTACAAGTAAGATACCCTGCTACGCATTTATAATATTACTAGACTGTTCAATAGTAAACATACAATGGTACATAATACTACGCATAGTCTAATATAATATAATATGTTACTATAATTTCGCACACGTACACCGAGGGATATATTTGTATACTTGTAGTGTTGGGGTAAATTATTTATAAATAGTAATAGAATCACCTTACTTTATGAATATTGAAATAAAGTAATTAAGTTAGGTACCTTTACTTTAATCTATCATAACACGCATTGAATCCCATTGTCATCCACAATTAAAAGTATCTAACATGTAACTGAGTATAATTAGGTCATATTATGACATTTCAATTTTTTTTTTTTATGTTAAGTACACTGATAATAGATAATAGTTAGTTGATTTGTAGGCTTATAAATTATTATGTCCTCGAGTTACTGCTATTGTTAAAACGCTCGATTAGATTAATCTTATAGATACAATATCGCTTTGTGTCAACATTCGAAAGAATATTTAAACGTATGCATAATAATGATAGTAAACAACAACAAAATAACGTTTAAAAACAGTGTGTGGGTGGTGAAATTTCAACTGTTTAATGTTTAGTGACACGAATAATAGTACTATAGTACAATATACCATACAAAAATGGTATATGAATGTCATTATTTATCATACTAACAAGAATACGCATTGACCAATATGATAGTAGTTAATACTTTTATCTATTAATGTGTTATAATTCACGTTAATATTAAAAGCATTTTTAAGATTTTGATTACCCCTAAGGCCGTATATGATTATTTCAGCTTATGAGGGGAGGGGGGGTTGAAATACAATATTATCAACCATGTTGTTGCTTCCCATACGGGTTAACGGGTTAAGTATACACATGGTGAGAATTACCGAATGAGTATTATTTACACGTGTGGTACCTATATATTGCGTGTATGTTTTATGTCGATTATCATTTTATAGATCCTTGGAGTTCCTAAACGACCAGCATCACAGCGAAGACAGGGTGCGTTTGGGCCGCAGTTATCCGGATAACAGTGACGAAGATAACGAGTCAAACGAGGTAATAGTTATACTAAATTGATCCATAAATAAATACATATTTATGTAATATGTATATATGTATGATATTGTGTGTACATATTTTATGGAAGCAAATTTTTCTTTCTGTACTTAAAAAATATATAAGATAAGTATTAAAAGGACCAATGACGACCGTATTAGTATCTTTCTCACAACCTCTCCTTCATATTAGAATTCGGATTTCCCTTATAACCTGGCATTCACATCTTAAATATTATATTATATTTTAAATATATTCTTTGAATTTCGCAGACATATGTACGTAATGATAGTAATAGAAAGCTATAAATCCGTACATTTATTATGTTTTGGAGATGTCCGTTAGATAGGTAGTAAAGAGTATAAACACTATAAACACATAATGATGAGTACAACTGTGGCCTGCGAGCTTAATCTATAAGTATATGAACAAGTACTAATATATTGATTGCGACATATAATAGCGATATGCATACGATACATTTTTTTAGTTTTTGTAGAAAAATAAGTTTTTTAGCTAGTACACATTAAATAATGATTCCGTTTTGAAACATACTCACAATATAAATTAAGAAGGATTATACTCTATATAGAGCATTGGCAATTATTTTAAAGATGATGATATTCGATTAAATAGTAATCCAGACACTAAATATTCGAATAATTAACATAATACATCATATTATTCGAACATAATATTATGATACACATTATGGTATAAATCATCATGTAGTAACAAGAAATATTAAAGTAATACCACCAAAGAATTTTGAACGCGAATAATTTGTTCACAGTATGTTTTTCGCTCGTATAATATGCGTTTGCTGCCGACAATAATTTAGCTTTTTTAAATTTAACCCATCTTAATATCTTATGTAAATGTATTTAGCTATGAGCGTTCGAGTAAGACGCAATTTGTCCCAATAATTATATACAGAAGACACGTATCTCGTCGGAATAATATAATATACAACCCATTTACCCATCTAAATAAAATCATATGGAAATTTCGTTTTACATGACTCTATCGGTATTATATAAATGATTTAGTGACATAATTTTTTGACATCACAGCTTTTATATAGGTAGTGCCATATTATGCGACTTATCGAATTTTTTACCAATAAATAATGATATTAAAGTCAAAATTAATAATTCAAATTACAATATTACATTATACCTAGGTACTGACATTTATAATACAATATTATTATTTATTACATATAATAAACAATTTCTTGGCACATATAGTAATAAAAAAAATAATGTATTATATTATTATTTTAATATTATAAGCAATTTATTATAGATAATCATATAGGTGTAATGTACAAAATAATAATGTTAGTTGTTGATTCCATCCGTATAATATAGGTATAATAGATCATAATGCTTGTATTGATTATTCTGCTGCAGTACCTAAATTGCATTGACGAGACTTCCTCATCGTTAATAAATTATTCCTATATAATTATTAAGTGTACAATATATATTATATTATTATACTATTATTGTGTACATATACATACTTTGACACTTAAGTACTTAGGCACACTTCAGTTGACACATACAATTATGATATTGGCAACTATTGGTACTATACGATATTCAGTATTATACTTTCAATATTCAATATTTAAAAGGGTTGATAGTATTATTAATTCAGATATAAATTCTCAAGTAGTATTAGGCAATGTCAATATTTTAGTTGCTCCTCCAAACCATGCTATTACCATTCCTATCTGTCCTACACATTATTTAAAAATTAATCCTTTGTACAGAGTAATGATTAATGTCGCTGGCTTAATTAATTTAACTAAACCCATTTTATAATCGTAATATATTATTATTTTTATATAGTTGTTCCGTGTTACGATTATTTTAATTATTCTTTTTGCCATTTTTACCATTTTGTATGAAAACTTTTAAATGGAAATACTGATCGCTACATTAAATGTATATATTTAGCTTCTTCAATTTTATATTTTATTTTCTACTGAACAAAATACAAAACGTAATCTAATCGTATACTTTATTCGATTCATGCATTCTGCAGCCAAAACATTGAAATCAACTTGCACGACCACCTGAATACTTGATAAATGATGGAAGACAATAGTACAATATTATACTTAGTAAATTCGATTTGGTTACGTTCAAACTTTAATATTCTTTATATAATTATATGGCGTGCTTTAGACTTAAATGTATAGGATAGGATAGTATCCGAGTATCTAGTATAAGATACACAACAACAAACATTTCGTTTTTGATTATACTATGTATTTTATTGCAGAACACTCAGTAATTTTCCTAATCTAGACTAGAAATTTGAGCTAACTAATTTTACATAATTTTAACTTATGATTAATAATGATTACTATAAATTATGAAAATTGTGCTCTTGTATACCCACTGATACTTAGGGTTGTGAATTGGATACATTAAAAAAAAAAGGAAGAAATGCACACACAACCTTGAAAATGCACTATAAATTCATCTAAAAAAGTTTTAATGGATGAAAATAATTAAAAGTATAGAAATAAGTACGAAATATAAAATAATGTCGTATAAAGACTAAAAATACCTAAAAAAAAAATGAGATAAAAGTTTCAAAATTGAATTCTGCAGTAGGTATCTAATTAAATCTTTGTGTCTAGAAAGTTTTGTCTGACGAAGTTAAGTAGAAAAATGTATTTTTCTACAAATTCATAGCCTTACTCGTATAATACTATACATATGCGTATATATATATATTTACGAAATTACAGGCACAAAACATCTTGGTGTACGAGGAAGTAGATGACCGAGCTGGGTCCGAGGACAAGGACTCGTGTTCCACCGAACCTGAGTACCAACAACCCTGTGCCGCGACCAGCAGCAGCATGCAAACCAGCGGCGGAGGTGGCGTCAGGAGACCCAAAAGACGGCGGCGGGTGTTGGACGTATCATCGGTGGTGCAGAACGGACCGTCCGCCAGAGCTGCACCAGCGCCGCAACCGCCGGCGCCGCCACACTCACTGGACCGGTTCTCGGGCAGTGCCGGAGCCGCCGACTTTTACGAACCTCAAATATTGGGCGGCGTGGGTGGCGACCCTGCCGATCCGCCGGTGGCCGACTATTACGACGGTTTCGGTAGATACGCGGCCAACGAGCTCCGGCAGATGGACAGGCAGTCGGTGATCATAGCCAAGCGGCTGGTCAACGAAGTGCTGTTCCTGGGCCAGATGGGCATGTTAAATGTCAACACCAGAATCGAGACGCCGACCACCGGCCGACGGAAGAACGCGTCCTCGGCGACCGGGCGCAACTCGGAATCGCGTGGTCGACGGCGCCGCCGCCGCCGCGACGAGGACGAGGACGACAATGACGACGACAACGACGGCGAAGAGCTCGACCACGACGCCGGTGGACGCGAATCGTCGTCGTCGCCGATGCCGCCCGTCGAGTTCATGGAGACTTCGTGATACGCCGCGGAAAGTGGTCGGCCGATCGACGAGCCATTGAGTGCGCACTGCACGTTGCCCATATCCCCTCCCCCTCGCACCAAAGTCTACCGACCCGAACTCGATTTGCCAAAGATTGTTGATGTCCACACATCTATGACGAGACCAAACGAGCGGTGAATAAGGCGCGTATTGATGTGCGGTGTATAATATTATTATGCATTAGCTGTGTATAGATAATTAATATGTATTGTGTATAATTTATTTAAAAAATAAATTATTCCGTAAATAAAATAATTATTTTGCAAGACTGTTTGATATTTGCACGTGGTTTGTGTGTGGGGCAATCGAAAGATGGTCACGTGTGTCTTATGTTCTACAAATCGAGCACAATTTTTTTCGACTTTAAAATATATTGTTTTTTGAGTTTTTGTCATTTGGACGACAACTTATTATAAACTAGTTCATAAACATAAATTGAACTATTTGACTACATGCAATATATTATATTAAATTTATTACCTGTATTATAATATATTGTTCATTTTAAGAGTTACATTAAATGTTTGTTAATTAATATGTATCTATTGTACCTATATATGTGATTGAACGTTCCTATTAGTCTTTACTCTAATTACTCTAGTTTATCGCATCCATAATTTTTTCAGTCACTGAGAAGCTACATGTATATACTAAAGTGTTCGATATAACCGTGGAACTCACACATCAGACTCGACTACCGAAATCGACGTGTAAAATATATTGAAACCTCAAAATAACCAACACTCTCAGTCGTCGAAACGATGTCCGTTTATCGGAGGGTTTGGTCTGTTGTTGGTTCTCATAGAATAACGTCCGCCATTCTGCAGTGTTGCAGTGTGCATTATGGGAGGTTTCGCTGTATAGTTGTACTTTTATAATTACTGATTCGTTTCAGGAGTACTCCTGTGCGAGTCACTGTTGGGTGTCGCGTGTCGGACGGTCATTATGCATAATATTATAATATAATATTTATACATACCAAACTATTGCCGTTACGAATAACGAAACTTGGTACATATTGTTATTTGTTCAACTGCACGCGCATGGGACTTGCACCTGGAATATATAATTACTGTACGTCGTGAATTGGTGTTTGACGGTCGTTTGAAAAATATATTTTTTAAGTCTTCAAAAAACCTATAAAACCTAGTTTGAAAAGGGTCAAAATATCACGATAGTTATATGTTATTATATTTAAAGAAAATGTAATGTATCTACGATTATTTGTTATTGATTGACTACAAATAACTACATCGATTTTATCGAAACGGGTTTTGTGTAGAAATTTCCCCTTTTTCTAAATTTTTAATTTTTTTCCCCCGACGCTTTTCAAAACTACTTAGAATTTTAAATTTTAGGCTCTTTACAGTGACAACTAGACCCAATTTTCTATCAGGAACCACCCTTCAAAGTTGTAAATCAAAGCATTATTTGATTAGCTACTTATCGTGGTCTATAAAGACACAAACAATTTCAAGAAAACACATACGCTACTCTCAAAATCTAAAAAAAAAAAATAGTAATAAAACTACCAAATATATTTTTATGAATCAATTATAGTTAGCTAAACAATATTTTTCAAAATATTATATTTTTTTCGCATAGAATATAATTCATAATAATTCATATAATCATAAATTATTTTAATTAAAAACAAATTGAAAAATATCGATTAGAAAAAAAGGCTGCATACTAGTAGTTGCGTTCCAATGATATTTAAGAAAAAAAGTCTTATCTGAAATGTGGCCCGATTTTTTTCTCGTTATATCCGAGTATTGATTATCCGATATTATTTTTATCTTTTCAGTTCGATAACAACGACAGTCAGCAGTCATAATAAAGGTTTAGAACATTAAATCGGGATCATTTTCTATCTTAGCTTATAACTTGTTGACTGTTTAATAATGATAGTATATAATAATACAACTTTAGTCGCTTTTCTACCTCTGAGAACGTTTTACCGCTTACGGATATCAATTCTAATTTGGTTTGTGTTTAAACCTATACTTTTTACCTAACATAAAAAATTATCACACACATAAGTTTTCACCATATCATTAGTTTTAAGAAAAATGACATTTTTAACCTACCTGTAGTACAACTGATCAGTGGCGGCTCGCAAGTAAATTCATCGGGGAGACTGAAAATTTAATAAAAAAAAAAAAAATGAATACAAATAATATAAAAAAAACTTAATTTAATTACTACACGCTGCTATACAATGTCAAATAGCTAAATTTAATAGTCTAATACGGACGCACGACACGCTGCAGTTTTCGTGTTTACAGAAAAATATACGTGACGACCGCAATGCGAACGGCAAAAACTCTGAATGAGTCTAGTCTCAATGACTCAATGTACTGAATAACATCTGTACAGTCTATCCCCGTCCTCCGCCTAGTCATGCATATGAAATTTGTATACATAATTGAGTCTTTCGGACGGCAGACTCTGGAACTATAGCGACCGTCGTCGTTATCGATATATTTAGCCCGTATTGTTATCGCCGTTATCGATATATTTTATGTATTGCATTGTTATTGAATGACACTCATTATTAATGTAAAAATAGAATACAAAATATTATCAATATTAATATCGAAAATCATAATAATTATTTTCAGAATGGATATAACACAAAAATATTAAATTATAATACAATGTTTTTCAAACTTTTATATAGCGTTCCTACTTTTTATTTTTGCGGGGAGTCGCCGTCTCAAAGACTCCCCTAACGAGCCGCCACTGCAACTGATGCTACAGACAGTCCTAAGTCTGTACAAAAGCGGGAAGGAAAATTAAGTTTAGAATAATATATAATTTTATACTTCAACGTTTCAAATTTAAATTTAATAAATTTGAGCCACAATTCGGAAGACAATTTTATCATGGTACGCAACTAGTTATTACTCGAACAAAATTTAGTTAAATAGGTAGATAATAATGGTTATAAATGTTATAATAATTATTACATTAGTCATTAGTTCTATCTTTCTATTACTCACTGTATGTCTCTTAATTATATAAACAGATGAATAGGTATTTTAAATTAAAAAATTTGTAGGACCCATGGGGTTGCCGTCATAGGTCGACACTCAGCCTGGTGTCTTAACCCCCCTCAGAGGGTTGGTGGGCGAAGTAAACAAGGGGCAGAGCCTTTTATAGTTACTAATAATTAACTGTTTGCCGTTCACTCTCAGGGTTTAATCGTTTGATTAATAATATAAAAGTTTATAGATGTATGCATGTGTTTTTAATTATTGAAGGGGCTTTTAGTCTCATGGAGGTTAGAAGATCCATACAGGTTGGTGATTTATAACATTACACAAGATGAATGCCATATTTTTCTGTAAATTTACAATATTAATATAGACAATCCAGGTAATTAAGTGAAGTTATGAAAACAAAAAATTATTTTATCGATGTTGGAGATTTGTTTAGACCAACTATTTTACGTGGCATTTATTCGAGATCCGAGAACACAACAATTATAATATTCTGTGAACATCGGTGGATAACATGCAATTGCTATAAGAAATTTATTTTTATTTTTTTTTTTAAGCGTATTTTACATTTCGTAAGTAGATTATATTTTATAATAAATAATAATAAACTATAAGTGTCTATTATATCACCTACTTATAGAATGATGAATGTATATACTTATGCATGTAATACTACGGTATGTAATATTTATGATTTATTTATATATAATTGTTATGAACAGTATAGTTACACATAATGTATATATTTTTATTATAGGATTTGTGCAGTGCGTACTTCGGTATTATGATACTGGGTGAGTTGGTACCTGTGTGACGGATTGACAACTAAAGTGACAAACACCTACCCAAACATCGTTTGATATTCATCAGAATACCGATAATACATATTATTCAGATCGTCTGTGCTGCGATTTGCGAACGAAACGACACAGTATGTAAGCACAGACATATACACTTGCGTGTTTCAGTAAAAGTTACATTCCGCGGAAATGGAAATTCGCATATTTCTTGACGTGACTTAAAAACGAACCAATACGATAATACTCGATGTATACATTCAATATTTGTATAACGTTATAGTGTTACAGTAAAAATTCGTTAATGGATTTTCTAGTATTTTCTTCGAATCTATACCCTTATTGATTATTATAGTTATTAAAATACGTAAAATTTTATTTTTTGTAAATAACATCCTTTGAGGTGAGTATATGCAGATGCCCGTTCCTAGTTCATAATTCATACTAAAAACCTATGATATAGAAGTGCATTTTCGCATCATTGAATTTTTGAAGTGAGACAAATTTTGACGAAACGAGTATTGCGCGATAGCCTCCGTTTCAGATCTCGAAAATCCAAGAAACATCTTCTTAAAATATTCTATGGACATATTATAAATATTGATATAGTATTACTATGCGCATTATCGTCACTTCGTGAGTTATTGATAAAATATAGTAGGTAATTAATATACATATTTTGTGTGTAGATAGGGTATTCGATAATTTATTATAGTTCTGTTGCGTTGTTGTACTACGTAAACTGTAGTAGGGAGCGAATTCGGAGGGGAAAGAGAGAACTGATGTTACAGTACATTATATATTACTTATTAATATAGGAAACCATAGGATTTATTTGTAAACGAAATTCTATCAGACTTCCACTGAATGCGTATGATTAAACGGAAACTGATGGCTTCAGCATAATATGTCTGTTACTGTGTCGCTCTAATACAAAATAAATCATATTATTGTACGTGAATCCGTGTTAATATGAATAATATATTTAATGTTCGTTCTGGTTGTTTGTGTTTTTCTGCGATGGGAAATCTATCGTTCCTTGTTACCACTTGGCGTGATGAAGACACAAGCTTCCCATTAAATATGCAGGACTAGATATTTAAATTTCCACTTGTACTCGGTATTTGTCACACATAGAGCAATCGTGATAACTCCGGGAGGCACATACCAACCAACTGTTCTGAAAACGAATGTCCTGAGTGGTTTAAGCATGTCCCCGGGAACTAAATAAAATAATGATAACTGTATGCCTATATTATGGAAGAGTCGACGGAATCGATCGCAAGCAAAGTCTCCGAAATCGGTAATGTGGTGTACCTCATCGTTCTCGGGATATAGTGACC